CGCCGCGCTCCCCGGGGCAGGTATAAATCAGGCAGATGTTGGGCGGCTGGAATGGGTAACAATTTCTTTATCTCTTTGTTTGCTTTTTTTGCATGTTAGCCTCCGACGGCAACTGCCGACCTTCTTCCTGCAGTACTTTTCAGGCAGCAGAATGTGCTTCATGGGAGATATATGGAGAGATTTCCACAGGGAGTTAAACATATGTTTTTGTTCCTACCCAAACATGGACTTGCACACACGCAGACACGCGTGCATATATTTTTACTGCGTTTCAGTACTGGGGGAAGAAAAAGGATGTGTCCTTTGGACTTTTGGTCTTAAACCCATGGCTTTTATTTTTCTTTAAGCGGACCAAATATGACACTGTTATTAAAACTATAAAATCAAATTAGCACCCTTTATTGTGTTGGCAAACTAATTAAAATGTAAAATGTCCTGAAACCACTGGCTTACTGTGTGACAAATGTGAGATTAGAAACAATTACGAGGCACTCAAGAGGTTTGTGGTGTTTAGATTTCTGACATTGTTCCAATCATCTCTTTAAGTAATGAAAACAATGGTTACCTAGAAATTAAAGGTTTATAGCAAATTATCTTCTTCAGTACAGTCATTAGTTAATGATTGTTTATCATTTTAAACGTTGCTGTAGTAGTTGGAGACTGATTTTTAAATCTGAAAACAGGCAGGACACATAATGATGAACCAGCAGCTGCTTTATCTAGTATTTCAATATGCGATAGTAATTTGTATTGTAACATCATTATTGAAAGACAAATCTAATTTTTGTTGTCGTCGTTGTTATGATCCATATCCCGGTCTAAACATGGCTCTGCATGGTTAAGGCTTAGTCAATGTGCTATTTCAGAGCTCTTTTATCCAAAGATCCTGAGAACTGGGCAAAAATGAAAGTGGTTCATGTGAATTTATACGTATGATAGGTAAAAAACAATCAATCACTTATTTTAGCACTGGTCTCCTCCTAGATCTCCTTGCTAAGGTTTTTGATCCATTTCAGGACTTGAGTTTGCTTTCTTTTTTTCTTTCTTTCTTTCTTTTTTAAATTTTTTTTTAGAAGAATTTTGACAAGAGTGACAGGATATATAAACGTTTCTTGGAACTGAAATGAGCCTCAGTATTTCAGAACATTTCCAAAAACAGATGTTTCCCAAAGTTGAAAATGCTAGTTAACACTCTTATTGAAGATTAAAAATAATTATAATAAATGCACTAGGCTGATTAATGCAAAGTACCCTATTAATATTCAATTTTGTTCTTTTTGTACCATTGAGAAATATTTGTGCTTTCTCTCTGTGTCCTTTGGAGACCAATGTTTGACTTTATATTAATTAGATATGTGAAAGTAGAATAGATTAGCCTTGGGGAATATGATATAGAAACATATAGTGTGTCAAGATGTAACTCATGGAGGATGGGAACCTCATAATGAGCATTTACTATAGACAGATGTGTACGTTTCTGTGACTGATTGTAGGGGAATTATTTATTATGCTTTCAGCTGTTAAGGAGCCGTGTATAAGACAGTGTGCTCAAATTGTTCTCCATTAATTTTCAGCGCCAAATCTTAAAGGGAGACCACGCAAAAAGAAGCCATGCCCACAGAGGAGAGACTCATTAAACGGCATTAAGGATTCCAACAATAATTCCGAAAGCAAAGCTGTTGCCAAGGTAAATCACTTAATAATATTCCTTTCAGTGCGTTCTCCTTTTTTAGCTACAGCTCTGCCTTTGTTTCCCAGCACACTGTTTCAAATTTAGAAAGTAGCTTATTTGCTTGGTGAGAGAAATGCAGGGGTTTGGTTTTTTTTTTTTTTTTTTTTCAATAGTTCTATTCTTCACTTTAAATCACATCTGTGTTCAAAGTTAACAGCAACTATAATCACCTCACAACTTAATGCTATCAGCTTGTTGGTAACTGGTAGTGCTTAAGCTTTCTTGGCATCCAGTGTTAACTTTCACATTCTGTGACACACAAACATAGTTTGTGGCTGTATCTTCAAATTAAAAATAAACCAGTGAGCAGCTCACCCTGTTACAATGTACTGCTAAATATAAGTTTGAAGATAAACAGAGTATGAAACAAGAGCTGCCTTCAAATAATGGTTTCTAAGAAGCATACACAAACACCATTACCGTGCTGTTAAGATCCTGACTTAAAATAAAACCAAAAAAAAAAAAAAACAAAAGGGAGGAAAAGGAAATTCAGAACAAAAGTACAAAAGTTGAAAAATCTGGGCTGGCTCTTTAATACTGAGCGGTGAGCTGTGTATTCCAGGGTTTGTTGAATAGGGCATGTTTTTAAGGAGTCTGCTGGATTTGCTGCAGTGCTTAGCCCTGCTGCGACTAAAAACTGGATCACTGGTTTGGGTTTTCAGACTTATTTCCTAGACATTTGTACAGTCTTGCCTTAAATTTATTTTTAAGTGACATTTCTGTAGTTTAATTTACATCCTATTCTCTGTGTTGTCTCTGTGGTTTTAAATAGGAATTTAGTTTTCTCTTAAAAGAAAAAAAAAGCTCAGCACAAATGGCTCCTTTCAAGATGATTTAATTCGAAACTGTAAGATGCAAAGATGGAAAATTACTTAGAGAGAGCAATACTTGTAGATGCTTATCTGTGGGCGCGCTTGGTCACTGCACTGCTACTGAGCACCAGCTACGCACGTTTGCCTACACTGAATTTTTAGGTCAGCTTCTCTGGAATCCATTGTTTCCATAAATTAGATGGATGCATATCTGCAAAACATTTGCATTGTAGTGACTATCTCCTTAGGAAATACAGTGAGTCTGCAGATGCATCTAGGCTGTATTGTTGTGGGCGGCAAATGTCCCTGGAGATTAGGAGGTTAAAGAGGTCAAGTGGAAGTGCTGGCCCTCCCTTTCTCATAGGAGGGCAGATTAAATTCCTCCTCCCTGGAAGCTGGGGTAGAGTTGTGCCTTCTCTCAGTGCCTGTACAGAAGGCTGGAGTTTGTGACAGCGCTGTGTCCCAAGTCAGTGTTTCGCTGCTTTCTGCACCCCGTTGCGCTCCGCGGGAGCCCGTGCGCTGGCATGCGCCCAGCGTGGGGAGGGGTGGCGAGCCCGGGCGCCACCAGCACCAGCCTTTGCTCTGGGGACAAATGTGCAAAATCCGCAGAGTGAAAATGCCTCAGTTTGCCTCAGATCCCCCTCCCCTGGACAGGTCTTGGATTAAAAGATTACCAGCAGAATGCAGTGTGGACTGCGTTGTCAAAGCAGCCTGGACTGTGGCATGAGTAGTTGTGCCTCTTCAGCACCTGATATATAGGTATGAGATAATTAAAAACAACAGTAACACTTCATACCAAATTGTTTATCCACTCTGTTTATATTTGGGTTCACCCTTCTAGTCAAATGTGACGATATTTCAGATAAGAAGTAATTCCACCTATTTATCTAGTCATACTGTGCTCATCATTGTGCAGATATTAATAACATTAATTATCTTGGCCAGCTTAATTTCATTATAAATAATAGACGTGTTCATGATGTAGCGTCCTCGCTCATAGTCCCACTGACTTTGCTGTGGCTCTTCGCATCAATCTGTGTCTCCAGACTGTGGCCATCCTTTCAAGGGGGGCAGGCAGTGAGTCAGAAACCCACCAAAGCAGATGTTTTGCATGTTATGCAGTTTGAGTCTCTGCCAATAGCTTTCTGGGGGAGAAGGGGAGGTGCATTTTGGGCAGAAGCAGGGATGGAGATCCACGTACTGTGGTTGAGCCATCATCTTATGTTCTGCATTGTGCTTCGCTGTAGTCTTCTGTTCTCATTCCATGTCTGGCTAATACTGTCGATGGGTCCACGGAAAGCAGAGTTGAAAACTGCTAGTGCAAATGGGACAAATCCACTTGTGTCACATGCCAAAATGCATTGGCAGTGCTCCTGGCCATACTCTTGCCCCAGCTAGAGTCCTTTTGACTAGAAGTTGTGCTGCTTTCATCCTCAGCACATAGCACCCAGGGGCTGACAGCAGCCCCATTTTGGGGGTGACAGGAGATGTGGTGGCTCTGCAGCTTGGGCTGAGGGAAGTGGTGGAAGAAGTGGCATTCAGGAGATTGGTTTTAAGCCTGTCAAGCCCAACAAACCACGTGGTTTTAATGACTTGCTGGATTTCATGCTCTAAGCTGCCAATGACTAGCAATCTTTGTAAGCCCTTACGACTTAGTTCACTAGGGCATGCTTACCTCAAACCATGAGCAGATCGTTTTGTAGACATTCACTGTTACCTGATGCAGAGAAGTATTCGGTCTGGTATGGGTAGTTCTGAGAGAATTTGCATCTAGATTGCTTGTTAAAAACAGAATGACAGCAAGACAGACAGACAACGCTGTCTTGGCCCCGTGGATTCTGCCCGGGGAAGTGGCTTGCTTGTCTATCACTTCTTGGTCCATCTCCTGCATCTATCTTATGCCTTTTGGGAAAGGGCTTGGGGACAGGAGGGGTCTCCTCCTAGCCTGAGAATGCAAAAATTGGAAAAAACAGGGTCCTCTGATCCTGATGGCTGGATGAGTTCTCTTGGAAAGCTGCATCTCAAACTCTCTTCTTGCCAAACACTCCCAGGAATGTAGAGACTTTCATACTTTATGTGCTGGCAGGTCTGGATGGGTTTTGGTGCCTTGCAGACTCCTGTGAACCTCGCTGTCCCCGTGTGCTCTTCTGGTTTTGTGCCCACAAGAGTGTGCCCGTTCAGAGTGCCTAAAAACACCCTTAAGACTTGTTAAAAACACCGGGTCTGACCAATTCGAAGAGCTGAAAGGATTAACTTGTTAAACATGGAAATAGTCCCCAAATGAATCTACTCATTACGTCTCCTAGTGCAAATGCTAAAATAAATCCCTCACTTCATCTGTATGGCCAGATCTGGGAAATTAGTTTAAAAGTTGCCAGTGTTTCCTTTTCCTGCAGCCACAGGTGCCTGGCACGCTCTCAGACCTGAAGATTTATTCTGAGAGCCTTAGATGTTATCTGATTGAAGCTCTAAATAACATTCCGTAGTGGTCTGGGGTGCGTGTGAGCCCCTTGGCAGGAGAAGGCGAACGCGGGGAGGCTCCGTTGAGTGGGCACGTGCCCTTGACGGCAGACCGTGCGCTTCTGGCTGCCGAAAGGATCAGCCATGGTCAGGTGCTTTTGAACCCGCATCAGTAGGTTCATAAACCGTTGAGAGACCCTGGGAGGGCTGCCTGGGCCAGGGCATATTAATGGCCTGTGTCCTTTTGGATGTATTAAGTTGTACAGGTCTAGAGCGAAGGAGGTTGGGCCCTTCATTGGAAACAGGACGCTCCCTTTGTAACACAATCATTAAGGCTTTGGGAGCAGACCAGAAAAGAAAGTGTAGCCAAGAAAAATCCATGTTTAGTACCTTTGTCCAGATCTTTGTCTTCTAGGAAGATTCAGGCTTGTGTTTTGAGAGTGAAGTTAGGTCAGTTGCTGGTCCCCAGTGCAAATCTGGCATGGCTCTGAGGGACTCGGATGCCTTTATGCTGGATTTACACCGGCCCTGTCCGGACTGGCACCTGGCCCTTTCAGTTCCCATTAATCCTTGGCCGTGGCAGTCATTCATATCTCCTGTCCCGTGGTGGTGACGTTCCAGCCATGAGGCCCGTGCCTTGAGCACTGAATGGGTGCAACATTGCAGCCCTCATCAAAGCTTCATTGAATGTGACACTACTTGGCCTCCTCGCCTTGCGCTTGGGTGCTTTTGAGTTCGACAGGCGCTTTGACCTCTCTGCTCTGAGCACTGGAGAGAAGGGGGTTGTGTGTGACATGGGGTCTTCTCACTCCCAACGGCTTCTTTTGTATGTTATTTTCTTTGTTTCCTTATGTCTCTTTAGGAGTCACGTCCCTTACCATTAATTTGCTTTCATGTAAGTGAGTCTTGATCTGATTTAGCATTCATGCCCAGGCCAGCATTGCAAACATAGTTCTGAACTACCCAGTTTGTAAAAGAAAACACAGTGAAAAGGTGGAAGTAGATGGACAGAGAGATAAAATAGAAAGATAGATAGACAGATTGCTTCTTACGTAGCAAGTGGGCTTCATAATCAAAAATTTGTTCCCAGGCTCAGAGAATTTGTTCCAAGTTTTAGCTTGCAACAAATTTACAGCTCAAATTAAAAATCCCAAAATTATTGAAATTATGGACTCCTATTGGGAGTGCTAACCCAGTCTTTGGTATGGCATTGAGAATTATGACAATGTAATTTGAGCTTTTTTGGAGGAAGCTGTTAAATAATTTTGCAAGGAGCCAAAGTTAAAAAAAAAAAAAAGGAATTACTGCTCTGAACTTAAAACTGAAAACTGGAGTGAGCCAATCCAAAACTCAATTAATGGGGAAAATTCCCAGTAGCTTCATTGAGTTTTGGATGAAATTCAGGATCTTTACAGAGGCTTGATCAGTAAGCATATCTACACCTAAAAGGCAAAGCCTGGTGTCTAATGCCATAGGAAGACAACCTCTCTGTGTACCATCAGACCAGAGAGCACTGGTCAATAGAGTAAACGCACTGCCGGAGTAAGGAATTGAGAAAGGCCTTGCAGGAAATTCATTTTCAAGTCCCTGGCAGGAGCAAGTCTGTGCCCTGCAATGTCCTCCAGGGAGAGGTTTTTCAGCAGCACTGAGTAACATCAAAAGTTGTGGCCACTTCTCTCTGCCTGTGGCCTCTAGTTGGGTAGCAGCCTTGCCTTGCTGTCTGTGGAAGACTACGGGTACAGCTAGCCTTAAATCAGTGCTTTTAGCAAAGTTAATATGCTGAGGAGCGTAAAGGAAAAGGCTTTGCTTTCCTTGGGCCTGAACACAGAGTCACTTTTCTGAGACAAAATAAGCATGTTTTGGTTAGTCTTTCCCTTAGTATATTTGCTGTTTGTTTCTGGGCCTTGCCTAATGCTCTTCCTAGCACTTACTTCCAAAATGTCAACAAGTGCCCATGAAGCTCCTGGTGTGAGTGGGAAGGATGATGGAGTCGATGGTTTACTGGAGGCTGCAGAAGGGTTGGTGCCGGCTTCATCAAAAGGCTCCTCCAAACTCCTACCTTTCTCATGAGCGAGATACCCTGCTCTCCTCCTGAATCCCAAGTACTGGCTTTTACAGCCTCCCTCGTGCCTCAGGGAGCACGGCGGACATGGCTTGGTCAGGGCATGGAGCCATCAGAAAGCTTCTTGCAACACTTCAGAGCACCCTTGACCACCGTTGCTGCTCATAGGGAAGGACTTGCAGTATTTCACTGGCAACGCCTTGGACATGGTTTGTCTGGAGAGCTTTTAAAAACCAGTTCGCGAGGGTGCACTCCTTGTTATTTGTGTACATCAGCTGTGGGAAGGCTCGAATTGTAATTTGCCAGATTCAATGGGAGGATTATCTTCAGGAGGACTGCAGGATTAAGCCAGTCTCACTGGATGTTTTCCCCCTTGTTTTGAATGTTGATGAGAAGTAAAGTGGTTCCAATTTGTTGGCTTCCTGACTGGCACAGCAACAGCTCCTGTAACCCGCCTCTTCCTTCTGCTAAGTGCTCGGGGCTGCGCTTAACTTTAAGCAGATGCTCCAAGCCTCTAGCCCTAAGCCTGCGCTGCAGCAGCCCCTGTGCTGGTGCGTGGTGAGCGCTCTGCCCGGCGGAGGCTTGCCAAGGTTTGCATCTCTTCTGGTGGGCCAAAGCAGAGAAGAAGGCGTCTTCCCAGAGCCGGCTGCGGAGCATTCCTGGAAGGAGCTGAGCACCCGGCTCCGAGGGGTGTCTACGGGAGTCGGCAGCGCTCCGTGTCAATCCTGCAACCAGGGTTATTATTAGACTTGCTAATGGCAAGTGTATGCGAGAGATGGGAGCTGTCTGTGACATAGCAATGTATAGTCATAAAAACGCAGAGCTTGTGAGCATTACCAATGGGTTGTAATGATTTAAAGATGTGGCTATTTAAAAATGTTGTGACTAAGATTCAGAACAAGACAGTTAGCTCTATAAATAGCTTCTTTTGTTTCCCCTCAAACACAGTTGCATGGTTTGGCCTTCATATTTTTCAGCAAGCAATTCTGTTAGGAGAGGTTATTTATTCCTTAAGTAAAAATTAAAGGTTACCCAGATCTGATATGACATCTTTTCTTTTCCCAGGTAAAATGTGAGGCTAAGTCAGCTTTGCCCAAACCCAAGAGTAACAACAGCAACTGTAAAAAAGGCTCAAGTGAGGATAAATCAAAGATTGCCGTAGGTGAAGAATGCAGAGCTGATGAGCAGGCTTTCCTTGTGGCACTTTATAAATATATGAAAGAAAGGAAAACACCAATTGAACGAATACCCTATTTAGGTTTTAAGCAGAGTAAGTATTCTTTTTCTCACTTTCTTGTTGACATTTTAGAATGGTTTGGCTTCTCCAGAGAAAGTATTTGCACACAGAGCCTTTTTTAAAGCCTTATGGATGGGGGGACAATGTTTATATCTACAAATTTTCCAGTCCAGGCATTGTACTGTCTCTTATGCCTAGATTTGCATCGCTTCCTTCTGGGGTAGTTGCTGCCGGATATTTATAGGTTTAAATCCTCTGATTATGACTAGAAATAGGCATGCTGAAAACTCTGTAGTTTTCTGTTTTGTAAATCTGCAGCGTCTGTAATGCCTTTCTTCTGAGTTAATAATATGACGTATCTTTATTGTGCCCAGATGTTCTTTATGAAAGGACAAATATTAAAGGAAGACATTTAAAGGTGGTCAAGAAAGGCACAAAAGGGATCGTATTTTTAAGCACAAAAATGTGTTTATAGTTAATAAATTATTGACTTCAGAGAATATAAAACCAGACCGTATCTGTTTAATACAGGATGCAACGTTTAGAATTGCTTTGGCATGTACAGTTTGTAGTGCCACGGTCTGTAGAGCAGTCGTAGGTGGAGAAGATACAGTTGCAACTAAATTTTACGTAAATATTGCAATGCAAGTGTAGATCTTTCAGCATTTCCAACAAAAGCTGTAAATGGGGGTATTTTTCCTCCTTATCTATAGGTTGAATGATACTTTAATTACTTAAAGGAAGGACTCCATGGATTGAAATACTATTTACTCTAATTTATCTCCCAGATGAAAACCATGTGTTATTTTGATGAAGAATGTCAGACCTGTATGTTTTACATAACAATTTACATACCTAATAGCAATTGGCACTGATTGCAACAGGCCTCCAGCAGCCATTATAAACTTATATAACTCCGAATGATTACAGTGTTTGTCTGAAAACTGCCTGCTTGAAATGGAAGTAAAATTAATGTACTATGAACAGCTTCGTTGCATTATGCATTGATTCAGATTAAATCAAGGTCTAAGCAAAACTCTTGATAGCTCTGGAACAGTACAAGGTTCAATGAGGCTTTCAGAACATTTTTGTGTCGAAGAAAGATTCCCCCCCCTGCTTTATTCTGTGCTCCCTCAAGCAATGGATGAGGTGGGCTCGCACACAAGCAAGAGCATCATTTCTGAAATTCTCCACCAGGAAAGGGGTCCTTTGCTAACATTTAGCTGAAATACAACCAAAAGTTGCCTGGCACTCATTATGAATTAGAGGCCTGATCGGACAAATACTTAAATGCCAAGAGTAAGTATGCTGAGGAGAGCAGAAATGTTTGCAGGAGCAGGCTCTGTATTTGTCCAGCAAGAGCTGTGCAAATACTGCCAGAGTAACTGTGTTAGTGGGAGGAAGCACTGCGTTCACTCCAGTATAGCATCCCCCACAGGGCAGTAGAGCCGGTCCTCTGGGACCCACGGTGTCACGGCCGAGCCTGGCCCCAAATCCTCATTGCATGTCTCTTGGGAATCACTGTTTGGTGGTAGTGTGGTGCACGGGCCTTTCGTTAAGTTCAGTTATTCAATTATATCAATTACTCTTTGGGAAATTAAAGGAAAATTAAGACACCCCAGCAGTAAGCAGTGGCCCCATGGGACATTGAGGAAAAGCACATGGAGGGGAAGAGTGATGGAGCAGGCAACAGGCCTCTCCCAGAGTGTCTTTTGGGGGAGATGCCTCTAAGCCTCCCAGCCCGTAACTGTGGGCAAGGCACGACCACCCTTTCCGTAGTTATCTGGGCTCCCCCGGGTTCATTCCCGTAGGTCCCATTTGAGCACAGCCCGCTCCTTATTGATGAGGGAGGCCATTATCTGGGCTGCTGTAAATATTGGATATTGCTGCCTAATCAATAGGCATTCTCTGTGAGCCCATGTGTGCTCCTGCTTGCTTGTTAATGAAATCAGCGCTAAACAAATAATTAAAACCAACATTCTTTCCAATGAGTAATTTTTATTATCAAAGTTATGGAAACGTTACTGCCATTATACTGTCTTATCAGCAAAGTCAAATGAGCCCATTACCTTTGTCTCAGGATACTTTTCCAGTCCTATAAAGCCATCTATAAAGCCTAAGTGTGTTCTCTTATATGCAATTAAAAATATATATATTGTGCGCACTAATATTTACTCTTTGGATTATGTAAATATGTCTTTGCAAATTGTTTCACAGGAGCTTTTTCAGAGGCTGTGAGCGATTTTTTTTTTCCTATTTTTCTTTTTTAAAACTGTTTAATTAACATTTCTTTGAAATATGTTGGTTAATGCAATGCTTATCTAAATACTTATTGTCCCTCTAACAGTTAACCTTTGGACTATGTTTCAAGCTGCTCAAAAACTGGGAGGATATGAAACAGTAAGTGTTTAAGTAACTTAAATGAAGTAATTGTGCAATCTAACTTTTCCCTGTTAGAAAAAAAAAATGTAAAAGCAAACAATCATTTGCTGCATTTTAGGCTAGCTGTACACATTGTGAGTTTATTGGACCGTTTTTGGAAACAGTCCCAATTAGTTCCAGGTTTGGCAAAATTGTAAACTTGTCGTAAAAACTACAAGTGGAAAACATATGTAACTCTTCCCTGTCAAGGAAATTAGTTGGGTCTGTAATTTTTTCCCATGTTGAGAAAGGGCTATTATTGTACAACAAGCCAAGATTGCATAAAAGAAATTTCACTTGGCAACATCCCTGACATCTGTTCATGTCTAATATGGGAAATGTATTAAAGGCTTTCAAAAGTAATCAGCATTGTCCATTAAGGAATAGCATGCTGCAGTATCTTCTCTTGTTCCGAGTGTAAAAGATCTTTATTAGACAAGGGTCAGTACCACATAAACAGGAAGTTATCAAAGTAATTCAGAAAAGTTTCTGACACTTTTTATCAGCTAACCATATCTGACAAGAGCAGTTTATTTTTAGCTCACAGGAAAATTTGATGGCCGTGGATTTTACAGCATGTATTTTGAACCAATAAAATAGTAGAGCAACAAACTTAGATTAAAATCTTGAAATGAGAAGAAAGAGCTGCATTAATATGGCACATAGAGACGACATCTGTAATAAAAACCAATTGACATAGGAAGATGTCGTCATTGGAAATATTTTCTTTGCACACAATGATCAGATTAAGTTGTTCAGTTCCTGCCGCAGTTGGATGAAAGAAATTATTTTTGCTTTGTTTACGAAGTAATCTGGGACATATCTGTGCTGTAGCAAAATGACAAGAAGAAATGCGCTATCAAGAAACTGAAAGTCATTAAAACGAAAATATAAAAGTGGCTATTTTCTTTCCATACAATGAAGCATATTGTTCTCCAAATTAAGAGCCCCGGTTTATTGGCGTGGGTTTGGCGTGGGTGTGGTTGGGGCTCTGTGAAATCAGAGCACTAACGTTCTCAGCAAAGCTATATGCTTGATTTGACTTCTGTTACCTCTCTCTCTTTCGTTAATCAGCACATAGCATGCTTAGGTAGAGGGGAGTGCACACATGTGCTCATGGGTGTATATGCACGATTAGCTGCTGCAGCGAGTGCTTGTAGCTATTTACAGCAATTGTGAGGCAGGAGGCGTTGCTGTGAGTTGTAAAGTGCAGTGTGGATGAGGGCTAAAACCCTGAACTTGATCCAGAGCGTGAGCAAAGGCTGGGAAGGAGGCTGAGCGGGGAGTGACGTGGGCAGAGCGCTCAGGGAGGCAGGGGAGGCCGCGGCAGCGTTTTGGACCTTCTCGAAGGGACCGGGATGCCCAAGTCGAGCTTTACTGGAGACAGCTTAGGTTGAGGGCCAGGATGAGAGAAGAAGAGGTGGATTTAGAGATGCTGAAGAAGGTGAACCTTCTTCAGGTGAACCATGTGTAGGGGGAGGGCTGTGCTGGTGTGGTTGTGAGTACAAGGCCACTGAGGCAGGTCTCCCAACGGCAGCAGGGATGTGCAGGATCCCATAGAGGGGCATCCATGTCAAGCAGCATCAGGCCATCCTCGTCTCGAAGGCCCTGACCTCTCTCACCCACACGTGTGCTCTCCAACGCGTGTGCTCTGAGGGTGAGGGGCGTTTGTCACCTTTGAGGAAAATGTGCTGATTGTGCATGGACAAGAAACTTAGGAACCGCTTGCTGGTCAGTAAGTAGCAAAGGAAGCGTAGCTCAGGCCAGACTTGGTTTGGAGGTGCCTGGGGCTGAAGGGAGGCGCGGGGGCACTGATCCAGTTATTATGGATATGGGTGTCTCTCGTGTTTTCTCTGAAGAAGAGCTGAGATTTGGAGGAAGTGCGGATGTGAGTTAGGTTATACATGGAGCATGAGGCTGCCCAACCTCATTCTTTTCTGTTGATGATCTCATCCTCAATATGGATCTACCTTTGTTTTATATTCCCTGAATGTTAAACCAATAGCTGTTGCAATATTTTTGACTTATCCACCCTCCCACCTTCTTCCTTTTTTTTTTTTTTAATTTTATGGCCATTTTACACTGACAGAGTTTGCCATTCTGCAACTGACTGTGTATTTTATCCTGGTGAATGTTGATAGGACACTTTTGTCTTTGGTTTTGTTTTTCAGCAAGGCAGCGAATGGCTGGTGTGCTGTGCACCTCAGTATTAGTCCCAGGATCTTAGACAGATCTGCTTAGTCCCATATTTATAATTTCAAGTGAATGCTGTAATACAGTAATGACCGGGTTATGCCAATATCTGTTGATGATGAGATGTCATGCATAACAACGGCACAACAGAGCAAAAATTTATTCAATTTTAAAGTGACAGGAGCCTATCCTGATTAACCTATGTTTGTTTACATGGACCCTACTGTCTGATGTAGATGAGTCATTGGTGTGTTTTAAGGACTTCTCCGTCTTTAAGTTGCTTTGAATTTTGACAATTTTCTGGTTTGTGTGTTAAGGTAGATTGGGACTTTTCTCTTGTAAGTATTGTAAGGGAAAGAAGGCTTACAACTGGGTATTTTGCTTCAGCACGACAGCCATTTTATAAAGAAACAGCAAATAAAATCTTGGTTAAAATCACTTACTGGAACAGAGAATGGTCAGTTTATTTTTGACTAAGGAGCATAGAAACTTTCCCAGTGAAATCTGGGAAACATTGCATCTTTGTATTTGGCAGAAGAATGGTAGTCAGCTCATTTTCACCTTCATCCCCTGCCCTATCCACCTCGTACATGTACAGATGCTTTTACAGGGCTTTAAAAAGCACCTCTGAGAAGGAAGCAGGGATTATATTTTGTTTCTCGGCTTCTGTTCAGACTCAGGAGACCTCTGAGTCCAGTCCTGTCATTTAAGGATCAAAAGGTGAATGAAAACAGCCAGGGATTGGATTTGAGGTGCAGGCAACAACTTCCTTAACCATCTGCCAGTCATTCTGTCACGTATCAGGTGCTGGGATGGATCCAGCAAAGCTTGCAGAAGGTGTTACCTGTACATATATGATATTTAATACTGTTAAGTCATAATCATGTGTCATATGCTTTTATTTAAGGGTTCTCATATTAGAGTATTTTTGAGAGTCTTTTCTCATTTCTCCGTTTTCTGATTACTAATTCTTAGGAAGTTGTCATCCATAGCTGTTTAATTGCAGTGCCATGTACTTCTTGGGACAGTATTTTTAAGCACAGTGAAGGCTTACTAAGAATAGAAACCCATGTAAATTGATATAACTCCTCACCAGATGAAGCCATCTCTCTGGAATTTGTGGGATTATGTTTCTCTTAAAAAAGATACATGAAATAAGCATCTCTGCTTATAATAATGAGAGAGCTCATTGAAAAGTACTGTGTGGCAGACCTGAGAGAACCTCACAGCAGTCAATGATATAAACCGTCCCCAAATCCCTAGATGAAATTTCAAAACAATGTCGCATTGTGGATGGCTCAGCTGCAGTGACATTGAACAAGCACGGCCTGGGATTTTCTCAGTCATCCTAAATGAAGTGAATAAAGCTTGCAGATGTTCATAGATGGGAAATATCCAGAGATTATCCAAAGAGTTGTCTTTGGCAAGTTATGAAGTGGCATCTTTCCTTCAGAGCCAATACACAAGGAAAGCCGTGTCATGTTCTTCTTGGTGCTGAATGGACAAGCTGAAGATGTCTGAGAAAACATGAAGATTAAAAAAAAAAATAGCTGGGACTTAATCTTTGGTCTGTGGCAGCCTAAATTTCACTGAAGGTCAGCAGGATCCCATTTAGCTACTGCCTCCTGGAAGCCACAACAAAGTGCTTTAGTTTTGAGAAATTACTGATACCGATTACCAAAGTTCTGCATCTGGGCAGGCCCAAAGAAGCTGACATTTCAGTGGCATCCAAAATACCTGTGTTTGTGTCATACAGGACTAAGCTAACAGAAGAGCTCTGTTTCAAAGAACTTTGTGAAGTTCACATGCCATGACCCCCTTAGATTTGCTGCTGCGGTGCAGAAGACCTTTAAGATTTCTCAAAGCAGAAGAAACCAATAAAAGCCTTTGTATAAAGAACCCTCTACTTTAACAGCTAAGATCACTGCTTTTCTTTGGTTGCTCCTGAAGCAAGTTGTGCAGATGGGTTGCAAGCCAGAAGGCTGCTTCTAAACTGAAACCAGCATTGCAGTGGAAAGCTGCAGGAGACGAGACTGGCCTATGCAGTTCCCATGATTGATGGGGGAACCTGGAGCATCTTGCACCCTTAGAAATGTGGGCACTGCGAGGAACAGGGAGAAGAGCAAATCAGAGATCTAAAGCAACGAAGGAACTTTGTCCTGTGTAACGTTGTCAACTGGAGCGTGTCAACTATGTCAGGAAACTTGAGATGAATTAACCAGAAGTGTGCGCTGGAAGCACTCAGGAAGCATTCGATACAGCTCTTGCAGGGTCTGCATGGTCTAAGTCCACTCTGCTTCCAGACTTTGAAGAAAATGGCACTCCGCTTTTCATAGTTTATGGGAAATAATCTGCTCAGATAACCAAAATATTCTAGTGTTTCTATATCTTTTGCCCTCTGCTTTCTGGTTCCCACATGCTGCAGCCAGAGGCAGGAACACCCGTGAGCCCTGTCAGCATTGGAAAGTGCTGTGCAGAGTGGCCAAGGCAGGTGATTTTGGTATGAACAATAACCACGAGCAGAGTATTGCCAAGCGCTGCCCTTCTCTGGCTCCTCAGGAGGTTTTTCCTCCCTTGGAGCAACTGGGAGTGCCTTCAGTGAGGTGAGAAGGAGATGCTCTGCCTGGATGTGGTCACCCCGAGCACCGGGCTCCAGCAATGCTGTCCTGCGTGACATTGACAAAGCTTCCAGTGGGCAGCATTTTGTGTAATTTATCACTTACTTGGGTCCTTTGAAGTTTATTAAACATAAAATCTGAAATTTGCAGGGCAGGGGAGAGCCCAACCCCAGGCTTTGTTGGAATAATAATTTTTTGGAAAATGGCAGATTTGAACTGAGCTCCGTATGTGGCAGAGCACAACTTTGCTTTATACCAAGGAGATGTGGTCTGCTGGATAAAGCTGGCGAATATCTGTGTGAACACTCCTACCCAAACAGCCCAGCGTGGAGAGACAGGCTGACAATGGAGCGGTCTCGGAGGCATAGCGCTTTTTGGACCTTCCAGGTTGGAGAAAGAGCCTCCATTTACACTCCCAGGAGATGATGTTGATCAGGACTTCAGATCTGTGCTGTCTTCCATAATGATAACCGGCAGCAGTGTGGGTGGCATCGTGGAGAAGTGGCTTAAGAACCTGAACAAAGCTGACTTAAAACGAACCATTTCCTCGGATGAGAGTTTGATCTGTTATTTAAATCATGTGTTTGTGCAGAATTTATCCCTGTGTTGTGGCACCTCTTACCTCTGGTCTTGGATTGGCTCCAGAAAAGAGAATAAAATTAATGAACACAGTCAGACCATTTTGCTTTAAATAGGATTTAAGAGAAAATGCTCCCTTTTTGCAAATATCTATAGGTGCAAAATATCTAGAGGGGCCAGTAGAGAGTGGGAGGTGCTGATGACTTCTAAGAACAGGGCAAACAAAGAACTTAAAGGAACTGTAACGTTATCAAATAATGGGTCTCCAGCCATCCTTTTGCCTTTAGAGAATAATTTCAGCAAAGGAAGGACTTTCCTTTTATGCAGAGATGAAAAAAGCACCTCTTAGCCTGTAATATTTAATGACAGTAGCCAGCTCTTCTTCTTTAGATTAAAATTATAGACCTCAGATCGCAAGCTGTAATATTTGTTTTCTTCTGATTGCTGCCTTTAGCTCCTCGGTAAACACCATTGACTGCTCTGTGGGGAACTCAGGAGAAGCCTCCAGGGCTGAATATATTAAAATCCACAGCATTCCACAGAAAATGATAGAATTCTCCCCAAATTGTTCCAGCCTTCCCCCCACAATTTTCCACTGCCCTCTTCATGAGCTGCAGGCAGAGAGAGGTTGTGTTGTCTTATTCCTGTTTTTCTTCCTGTTTTAAAAATAGTGGAATATACAAAATAATGAAATGGTATTCAGAAATAATTCTTTTGCCGGGTCTTCCATCTGTTATTCTGTGTAATCCTAATTTCTGTACAAAAAAAAAAAAAAAAAAAGAGAGGTATGCAGCTCAATATGTTACAAGATGTTTATTTTCATCAGCGTGGTCCAATAAAGTACATAGCTCAAATATTAACATTGGAGTATGTTAAGATTTCATTACTATTTGATCTATATATTTAACTGACATAAATGGATAAAAATAAACAACTTGGAGCATATAGCGTTATGGACTATGCTTTTGTGGATTTACAGAGTTTTGTGGTAGATTTGGATGTTGCAGCAGATTTATTTTCTCTAATTCAGTTAAAATAACTACGTAATCATTATTTGTGCTGAGTTTGGTTCAAGCTTCATTTTCATAATTCACGATGGGATTTGTCTGCATAACTTCTGATGGTTAATGACCCTCTATTGATTGAGCTTCTCTTTTGTGAGGCCATATTGCTTGCAACTTGATAATGAATCAGGCAGATCACTCCATTTTAGAGAGAAATAAAATAGACATGGCGTTAACTTAAAGAAGAAAAAAAAAAAGGAAAAAAAAGACACCCAAAGCTCTGTGCTTGCTATATATTCTTTAGGGGCTTTTATAGTGCTGGTAGTACATGCTGTTCTGAAAGTGTCACACATGCATTTGTTGTTGTGAACTCAAATGCTGTAGAATCTGTAAAGATGCGAGATTAAATTTTCCATTGCCATTTTTACAGATAACAGCTCGTCGACAATGGAAACATATTTATGATGAATTAGGTGGTAACCCTGGAAGCACAAGTGCTGCTACATGTACTCGCAGACATTATGAAAGGTAAGATAACAAATCTGAAATGCTTGTTTAATAATGAAAAAATTAATTTGGAGAGCCTTCAAAGCATTTTATAAAGAATTAGAGAATGGGAGAGGGAGAGGGTTTTTAAAGACATGGTAAATATTCCCCCACTGCTTTAGTCAGATAATCCGTTGTAATTTAAACCAGAGTGTATGTCTCCAGTGACAAAATAAATAGAAGGAGCATCTGATTTTTCCTTGGTTCATATCTTAATTTTTACAACAGTTTCTCTGGTAAAGAGGCTGCAGGAAGTGAGCAAAATATAGCCCAGGAACAACAAGGAAGGGCAGCTAATTGATGCAAACGCTTCTTTTTTTTTCAGGAAGGCCAATTAAGCAAATTGGGGTTGTGATGGAGATAAGGGGGCGGCCCACGAGGCCGGGTGCAGTGCGCGCTGTGGGTCCCGCGGGCATCGCGCTGCCGCTTCCGCTGCCCTCCGCTACCCGCCGCGGCTCCCGGTGCCGCGGTCTTCCCGAGCACATAATAATTTCCAGGGCTTGCGAGGCCAACATGCATCAAATAAAATGCTGGAGCTGGAATGTTATTTTAGTTTGGTTTGTAGAAATGATTTTTTTTTTTTAAGAAGCCAATATTAATGAAAGCTCTGCAATTTCTGGCTTAGATAATGAAAGTCTGATCTCCTGTCCCTGGGGAGGAACAAATTGCTTTGCTGGTACAGGAAGAGGTTTGTGCTCGCCCAAGCACAGCGCCGCACAGCGGGGCTGGGAGCAAGGGGCATTTTTGACCTTTTTCTGGTGCTGCACACGCTGCCCTGGCCCATGTCTGCAGGCTGGTCACCTTCGCTTCTAGGAGGCGTCGGGCATGGGCCACGCTGAGGAAGGAAGGTCACTTTGGTTGTGCTTAAGATGGGTCTAATTTGGGCCAACAAGCCCGAAATTGGGTTCTTGTGTTCCAAAGTCCGTTGCCTGGTTCTGGCCTCGGTTTGATATGAGGCAAAGCCTCTCTTTTGAGACTCTGGCTGTCTGTCTGAAGATGGCATATGGAGAAAAAAAAATGCTAATAGGATTTTTAGGTTAGCTAACAAAAAATATGTCTTATCCAATCTGGCCTGAAAAACCAAACACGTATATGAAAACCCTCAGTGACTAGTCCAATCTCCGAATTTCTAGTACTAGAAACATTTTTTCCACCACAGAAAAAACATATTGAGCCTCAAATTTGGAAAAAAAAAACGTAAATGAAATTGTCATGCTTTGTTTCAGACAGTGTTTCTAACTCCAACACATGTAAATGTAATGCCCATTTACAGCCAAAGTGCTCAGCTGACATTTAATCTAAAACTAGAGCTGCAGTGCAGGGATAGACGATCCTGATTGAGGACACACATACATTTCCTAACGTGAAGGTGAGCTGCAAAGCTAAACTGGAAACTGAATTAAGTTGGGAAGGAAAAGCTGAAAAAAACTCATGGCTTTCCTTCCTGAAACCCACTGGCCTTTCCTGGCAATGCCCCGACTTCCAAATACCAAGGCTGTTTGGATGGCCATGGCCTTGCCAGGCACAGGGCTGCTCTGGAGGGGAAGCAGAAATCTCTTTTTGCTTTGTTTCTCTGCAAAATGAAAGGTTTTTTTAATGCGTTATCAACCGATTCATTTTTCATGGAGTACGGGCTTGTGTTTCCAGTAACTGCTTTCATTTTAAAACAAGGCAAGGTTGCCAGCATTTCGGCAAGTGTTATTTGTACATTAGTTAGACAACTTTTGTTTTATTAATGAGGGTAATAATGAAAGTGCAGGTTGCTGAGTAGAAGCAATGGGTGTTTTTATTTAAGGCATAGCAGGGATCATATAATGCCAATGAATGCGTTATTGTCACTGCAGGCACGGCTGGTCTGAACCTGCCGCTGATTGGGTTATTCCAAATAGGCCGAAGCACTTCATAAAAATGTCTTTGTCAGCCTAGTTTTCCTTCCAAACCTATTCATCTCTGTCAGTTTTTAATATTAGTACCAGGCTCTTGGCTATAGTCCATTAGTACTGTACTTAATTGCTCGTGTTACAGATGATTACCAATATAAAAGGCATTAATGTTTTCCCATCGCGGGGCTGTTGCTCGGTGCATGGTTGAGGCTGCAGCGGGCTGCGGCATTGCTCGTGTTTTGGGCATTGCTTTGCTCCACCAGCACGATCGCCCCGCGCCGTCACAGAAGTCCAGGGTGTGCAGTGCTGGTGCTCACTGATGCAGCCTGGACCTCCCCTCCTGCCCACTGATGTCCTGCATCTGTCCTTGGAGCAAGAAGCCCATCGAGATGTCTCCTTCTGGCGAGGAGCCCTCCTGTGCCAGCTGCCTGCCCCCAAAACGCCGTGCAGGTGGCACAGGCAAGCTCTGAGGTTTCCTCTGCTCCTGCACAGATGGGCACGATGGGCAGCCTCGATCCTCCTGCCAGATAGACCAGCCCCACAACTGTGGTGCTGTCCTCCAAAAAACAACCCCAAGAGCTCAACTGGGAGGTTCATCAGGTGTGGAAAGCTCTAAAAAAACAACACAAAAAAAGAGCCATTACCTGGTGAGACCTTTTGGTGCCTCCAAGCCAAACCCTGCCCTGGCCAAGCCCCAGCATGATGTGGGGCTCAGTGCCCTCTGCAAGCACAGGCATCTCACTGGGGCTGTGAGCAAACAGAGCAAACGGGTGAGACATGGCCTCTGCATCAGGGTGGGTCATGCCGGTCCAGCACAGAGGCTGTGGACACAGAACCACGGTGGATTTTATCCTCCCATCACCAAGGCCTCTGAGCACCTGCAGGATGTGCTGCACGTCCTTCCCTTTGCAGGAGATCCAACATCAGGAGGATGGTGCCTTGTATGGTTCAGAGCCCGTTCCGCTTTTTTCATTTTCCCCCATCTAAATTGCTCACATAAATATTATATATTATCAAAAACACAAGGCAGGTTAAAATAAGCCCCTTACGTGATTACCTTTTAACAATCATGAGGTCTCCCTGCCCTGAGGATATTGTGGAGTAATTCAATATGCGGGAGGGTCCCGCATTCCTTACCAGTGCTGCTTGTTTCCCTTACAGCATCTTGATAGCTCCAGCACAGCACAAGCATTTTGGTAGAGTTTTGTAGGCAGAGGCAGCCCATCTCTCAGAGGGCAGAAAAGATAGGCACTTATTGCAACATCTACATGCAAACGCTTATGGTTGTCCTTTAATACACATTGTAATTAATAGAAGGTTTTGGTTTACACTGTTAAGTGTGAAAACATCCTCAGGCAAAAATTAATCAAGTGTTATGTCATGCTGTAAACTACAGCTAGCTCTTTGTTTAACCCAAAAAGAACTTGCCGAGCAGCAGTTTTTCTTGTCATACTAACTCAGTGGTTTTATTCTTGTCCGCACCCCACTTTCCGCCCTCCCTCCCCGCTGCAGTCAGTCGCAGGCTCAGACAAAAGTTTGCGACTTGCAAATTGTGTCGATAGTTTTCCATCAAGCATGAATTTAAGCCTGAAGATGGATGAGGTGTCTTAGTCCTCTCTTTTCCTGTTTTTTTTTTTTTTGATAAATAACAAGAGGCTTCTACTTATGATTTTCTGTCCTCAGGGCTTTATCATTAAGATTAAATAACTGTACTCTCAAGCATAGCACTGAACAAACATCTTTTCAATTATGTGAGTAACAGATGCTTTAACAAAGGAACTATTGAAAATTCAGAAAGCTTTCCCCCCTCCCTCCCCAAAATTTAAAAAGTATCAGATGACCGAGGAATGTAATTGTTTACCATTAGATAGATCCTTAACTGTCCATGTGAAACATCTGAGAACGCACTGGGCTTTTTCTGCACGATTTCTCCAGGCCTGGCTTTGCCATTGCGGCGGTCTGCCCACGCTAGGATCAACAGGGAAGGTCTGGGGGCGCTGGGACGTGCTCTCTTTGAGGAGCTTCGGGAAAAATAGACCAACCCTCACTTAGGATCAGAGCTGGGACCTTCAGGTGGCTGCATGTTTGGCAGCAGAGTTTTGGGAGAAGAGGAGCAGGTTGCTGTGTTGGCCGTCGTTGTGATTTCCATTAGCACCTAATACTTGTGTAGTCTCACTGATGCCTCAGCCTCAAGGTGCCCATGGGTGACACGTTCCCTGGGAGAACTGGGCATGTGGACATTTGATGGGCCGGGTTTAGATCTCTTTTCATCGCCCTTGCAGTCAGTGTCCCTCACCACCTGGCTGGGAGCAGCAACGGGGCCGTGTGGTCCCAGCCGCGGGACTTGGTGGCTTAAGTGCTTCCGATGTGGTGCTTGCGACTGGAGCGCCTTGGGCTTGCAGAAAGCAAGGCCGTGCCAATGGGCTGACACGGAGGAAGAGTTTATCCTGCCAGAAGGGAAACCCAAAAATAAGCACAATGCAAATGATGTAAAAAATAGTGGAGGTTGTGCTGGGCCTCCTTCTCCCCCTGGCGAACGGGCACCGCGTTCGGGGCATATGGCTGCTCCCTGGCCCCAGCACCCCGCATTACCCGTACGCAGTGGGGAGGTCCGGAGGGGAAACTGGCAGCCTGAGCATCTCATTTCCTTCCTCTTTCTGGGCTGGCCAGATCCTTTGCGTTATTGTGACTACTTTTTTTATCATGTCTATAAATAGATGTGCTCTCATGTGTCCTGCAAAGCAGAGTTGGGCCAAAAAAAGTCGTTCGTTCTGCATAATCGAACGTCGTTTTTGGGCCAAAAAAAGTCGTTCGTTCTGCATAATCGATACATGAAAACGTAGTGGTTACTGGCTTAGATTAGATCTTGTATTGTTATTTCTAGGCTGGGAAAAAAATGTTGACCAATAAAGATTAAGGGCTTTTTTGTTCTTTTTATGAAATGCTAATGATGAAGACATGTTTGATATACTGTGAAATACATTTCTGTAATGTGAAGTTTCTGCTTTTTGTTGGGAAAGAGATTCAGTCCCTGGAGGATTTTAGAATTTGTAAATATAAAATTATCTGCTTCAGTGTTTTTTAAAAAAAGGTTGGCAGAAAGCCAGATTACTTACATTACTGTAATAGATTTGCTGACCTCTGACATCTGCTGCAGAGAAGTACATTGAATTTTTCATAATATCAGATGATGCAGATCTAAAACTCAGTACACTCTGCACCATTATTTAATTCAGGACTTAGTAAAGCACAATCTTTTTTAGAGTAGCAGTTTATACGTGATTAAACTTAATATTGCCGATTGTAATAAATCAGGATTAGTATAGTACTGATTTGTTAATCTAACTTGTATTGATTTTAAGTTGTCTTTATTTAAAAAAAAAAAGGCTCGCTTTTCACAGTGACTGAATTTAATAAGAAGCTCTGTGATAGCAATGACTCCCCTACTGTTTCTGCTCTTGGCTGGAAAATGTTATTCTTGTATTATTCCAGGAAAAAAAAAAAAAAAAAACTCATGCTGCTAAAAATCTGCTGCCTGTGGAAAGATTTTTTAATACACTGGTGCTTACATATTCTATTTATGTTAATTGACTTATAAATAATGCATTTTATTAATCTTAATATTGGAATCTTGATCGTGATAAAGACCCTTTTATTTGGTTTTCTGCCAGCCTTTGCAAGTAAATATTTCTGTAGACCACAAAAGATCCCCCCTCCCTTTTCCTTTTTGCCTAAGCATTGTAGTAATCCCTGGCCGGAGGGATGTGGCCGAGGGGCGGCCCTGGCTCCCGAAGCAGGCGGCGTTGGAGGGGTCCGTTTGGCTGCATCGATTTTTGTTTCTTTTCAACATTGCCTTTGCATTTTCTTGCACATAGG